GGTGGCCTCATCTGCTTGTATCTGCCCAACTCTGGCAGACGGAGCGAGGTAGCTCCACCTCACCTCTCGATGCTGGCTGCAGAGCATGGCAAACTCACCTCTTCTTCATCCCTTCACAGGTATCGTCCTCTCAGACATCATAGAGAAGTATTTCGTGTCACCCACTCTCTTCAGGGTCATCAGGCTGGCGAGGATTGGCCGCGTCCTCCGCCTGATCCGAGGGGCAAAAGGCATCCGGACTCTCCTCTTTGCTCTGATGATGTCCCTGCCTGCCCTGTTCAACATCGGCCTCCTGCTTTTCCTTGTCATGTTCATCTACTCCATCTTTGGGATGTCCAACTTTGCCTATGTAAAGAAGGAGGCTGGGATTGATGACATCTTCAACTTCGAGACTTTTGGGAACAGCATCATCTGCCTCTTCCAGATCACCACGTCGGCGGGATGGGATGGCCTCCTCAGCCCCATCCTCAACAGCGGGCCCCCCGACTGCGACCCCGACCTGGAAAACCCTGGCAGTTCAGTGAAAGGGGACTGTGGCAATCCATCCATCGGCATCTTCTTCTTCTGCAGCTACATCATCATCTCCTTCCTCATCGTGGTGAACATGTACATCGCCATCATCCTGGAGAACTTCAGTGTGGCCACAGAGGAGAGCAGTGAACCCCTCTGTGAAGATGATTTTGAAATGTTTTATGAAATCTGGGAGAAGTTTGACCCTGATGCCACCCAGTTCATTGCGTACAGCACCTTGTCTGACTTTGTGGACACCTTGCAGGAGCCACTCAGAATTCCCAAGCCAAACAAGATCAAGCTAGTCACCATGGACCTACCAATGGTTGCTGGGGACAAAATCCACTGTCTGGATATCCTCTTTGCCCTAACTAAGGAAGTGCTGGGAGACTCGGGAGAGATGGATGCCTTGAAGGCCACCATGGAGGAGAAGTTCATGGCCGCAAACCCCTCGAAGGTTTCCTATGAACCCATCACCACCACTCTGAAGAGGAAGCATGAGGAAGTCTGTGCTACGAAAATCCAGCGGGCTTTCCGGAGGTACCTCCTGAGGCGCTCGGTGAAGCAGGCATCCTACATGTACAGGCACAGCAAGGACGAGGATGCCTTGACCGAAGATGCACCAGAGAAGGAAGGCCTGATCGCCACCAAAATGCACGCGATGTATGGGAACAGTGGGGCAGACGTGGAGGCAGCTCCTGCCTTTGGTCTGGAGCCCGTTCCCGGCTTGGAGACGCAAAGTGCTCCCGAAGAAGAAAAAGGATGGGATAAGGAACGCGTTGTGAAAGAGTCGCTGGTGTAACAGAGAGGCTTCCATCCCTTGCCCAGCCTCAAGAGGCTCCGTTTGTATCTCTTCCTCCAGAGCTCTCCCATGTACAAATCACTAGATCTTAGATACTGAGCTGAGTTCAGATGTTTCAAGAAGCCACCTTAGCTCTCGGAGCAGGACCTCGCACTGCTCCTGGGCTTTCCAGCTCACTGCACTTGCAAACAGTTCAATGTTCTGATGAGAGTGACGTGCGAAATCTCTTGTTGGTGAAAGGGAAACAGCTGAGTTTGGAAATGATCTCAGCGTGGTAACGATGTTTTTCACACACAAACAAGTGAGGCTGGCTTTCCTTTGACTTCACGTGATTATTTATTGATGTTATTTCACAATTAGGAGGTTTTCTTGGACTTTATCCTTCCAAAGAGCAGCCAAGCAGACGGTGAAAGATGAGCCAAGTGAAATAATATTAAGAATAATTACAGAATAGACAAGGTTTTGTGAACAAAAAATCTCCAATGTCTTAAAGTAGCACCTTTCTTTTGGATATTTGAATAAGCTTGATGGATTATTTCTTTTGTTATATACAGAGGAAGTGCAATTACGTCTTAAAGATTTGTTTGCATAGCCAAAACAGAGCATCTGCAGGTATGTTCTCAGGGTTAACTATCAGGTTTTAAAGGTCTCTGAATATGCATTGAAATCCTAAATCACTCTGGTCTCTACAGCATGAATGTAAACAGTGTTTATAGTCATGCTTCCTCCTTGTTTTCCCCTTTCATCCAGGTTTTGTGGTGGCAAAGCCATGGACAAAGGTAGGGCTTGGAAAACCTCCTCCAAGAACCCCAGTCCCTGCAACAAAACCTTCTGGGGTTGCTTCAAGCCCCATAGTAGGAGGAAATACCCCACTGGAGCGCTCTTTGTTAGTGCTAATTAACAAGACGAATCCCCAGGGATTGGAGAAGGTGCTTGAATGGTCCTGGCAAGGAGCTGCTTCAATGGGATCCCTTAAATCCCACCGAGCACCAGGGGCCTTCATGCGCTGAATGCTCCTAGCGGGGTGTAAATCCCAAAGTAGCCGGGCAGAGCATCCTTCACGTGGCTGGGGCTCCAGAGGGGACCCAGGGGCACGTACTGGGCTCTGTGCAGAGGGGCCAGGCAGGTCCTCACCAGCAACCTCCCAGCAGAGGAGCATTTTCCCCAAGGGAAAGGGTTTTGCTGCTATTCAGTTCATCTCTGGACCTCCTCCTGCCTCCAAAAGGGGAAAGAAACCCTCTTGAGATCAAAACCAACATGAACCAAAACCTCTTCCAGATAAAACAAGGGCTGCTTCTTAAAGCTGAAGGGTCTGTCTTTTTGTATCATTGTAGAAAGTGTTTTGCTTGGGCTGCTTTGGTGCTGAGCCTTTTTGGGTGCCCCATGTTCAGGCTGGCCAGGAGCGGTGCTGAGCTTGCTTTGCATCCATGTGCTGTCGGCTGGGTGGCAGAGCCGGGGTCACTCTGTTCATCTCGTAGTGTTGTTATTCCATTTCCATGTTGCATAGGGTAATGCTCCCTGGAATAGGAGCCTGAGCTGCTTTAAATGGTGTTTGCATGGGAAGCATCCATGGCACAGCAGTTTCCAGCCCGGACTGTGGCTCACAATCAATGCTGCTTGTATATTTGTGTTGTCAGTGGTGGGAAAAATACCCAAGAGCAGGATTTGTGTGAGATAAAGCCTTTTTCTTTGTACATTTCTTAAAATAAACTGTAAATGGTCTATTACAAAACAAACTGCATTGGTGTGTGGTAGAGGGTGAATGTCCCACTCCCTTTGCTCCAGGGAAGACAAAAGCAACCCCTGGGAATGGCCTTGGCTGCCATCCTCAGCAGGATCTGGTGGTCCCATCCTGCACAAAAAGCCCCCCTGGGCTGCCTCCCTGGCACCTCATAGGACATGCTGCTTCAGGCTCAACCAAGGAGCAAGGTGCGGATCCTCTGAGCTGCCCCATGCCAGGTTCTGCGGGGCCAAACCTGCCCCACGGCCACGCAGGAGCAGCTCATCACCATGGGGAGAAGGCGGTGGTGGGTGAAGGAGGTTTCTGCGTCAATGCACGGCTGGAGCGGGATGTGATCCAGGACCTGCTGACGTCGCCAGGGCCATGGCACGGCCTCGCTGCTGTGTTCTTGCCCTGCCTGGAACAGCTCATCCCGGGCCTGGCATCATTTGCGTGAGAGCATCCTGGTATCAGGGCTGGAGGGAGGCGGGGGCACTGCTCACTGTCCCTGTCCTCTCACAGAGGGGGAAAGGACAGCACTGAAACCGGAGCCCTGATGAATAGGAATGGGCTGGGGAAGGGTGCAGCTGCCTGGCAGCAGCTCTGCACTGCCCACAGGGCTTGGTCTGGCCATGGACTGTGTGCTGGTGGCCCTGAGGAAGCACATGGGACCATCCCTGTGAGACCACAAGGTCCCCTACCACTGGCTACTGCAAGGAGAGACCAAGGCCGCCTGGACCAGGTCTCTGTCTGAGGGCACCAAGGAGCCTGCAGGCTGTGCAGGGGGCAATCTGGCTGTCACTGTCACTGCAAACCCTCTTTAGTTTGTCCCAGGCATTCCTGTCACAGCTCCCATCTCCAGCTGGGGCTTGATGAAAACCCCCCAGCGCCTCTGGACACGGAGCATCCCTTGCTGCTTTTGCCTTGCAGGTTGTTGCAGGAGGCTGTGCTGCTCCAGCAGGACCAGGGGTGATGGCAGCAGAACTCACGCACGGCACCATGCACAGCACCCACCCAGAAGCTCTGCCAGGAGGCACCCCTCCCATCATCTCTTTCTCCCTCCTGGGACCAGCCTTTCTCTAGAACCCTTTATGTCTCCTCGCTTCACGTCCCCCTGCACACCAGGTGAGGCTCAGGCTGGCTCCCAGCAGCTCTGATTGCTCAGAACTGGCAAGCACCCCACTAGAAGGGCAGCAGTAGGGCTGGGGACCAGCGCTGCTGGCAGAAGGACCCGAGGGTGTTTTTCACAGGCAGGCACGGTTCAGTGCTCACAGCACAGAGGGAAACCGTGTTCCTGGGTCAGAGCAAAGGGGGACAGAGCTCACCTTGGGCTGTCACCCCTCGCTTCCCCAGGGACTGCCCATCTCCAAGGGCTCATGGAGAAGGGTTTCAGTTGTGGCAGACAGGGTATTGGGAAGGAGCAGGCATGGCTGGGACCCAGAGAGGGGGCGCCTCATTTTGGCCACCCCTCTCCAATCCCAGATTTCACCCTTCCCCAGAAGGGCGGATGCAGGAATGGGAGGTGGGACACTGATCCCCACAACAAGCACAAGCATTCCCTCTTCCCACCTCATTCCTGCTCCAAATGGGCCAGCATCAACCCCTGCCCATCACCTGCAGCACTGAATGCTCCAGGGGGATCTCCCCTTGCCATGGAGCTGGGGTGCAACTCCGGGGTCACCCCCATTCTCTACCCCACAGGGATGTGGCAGTGCCAACAGTCACATCCTGCTCCCCAGGCCCATCCCCTGTGCTCAGCCCAGGTTTTGCACCAGATGGGCTCATCTCCAGTTCTGGTCCAGACCCAGCCCAGTTGTGGCCGCCTTCATGGCGAGCACAGCCCAGGGACACGAGGCTGGGCAGTGCCGAGGGCGCAGGCACCGGCCGCCCCAGTGTCTGTGTCACATTCAAAACCATCCCCAAAGGGAAAGCCCCCATCGAGGAGCATTTACATGATCAGGAAAGGGGCCGTCTCGTGTAGCAGCAGCTTTGCCATTTTTAGGTACAGAGGCCGAGCTGTCCAGACCGGGTGCCGTGGGCCACAGGAGCAAGAGCCAGGGCTGGATGTGTCCCTGTTGTTGGCAGTGAGAGATGGCTGATTTCTGCAGCAGGCTCTGGGTGCTCCAGCTGAACCTCTGGGCGATGGCTCTGGCCACAGGTAGGTGCTCAACACGGCAGCTGTGCGCGTGCACCGCGATGTGCCGGCGCTGTCCCTTGCTTGATGCAACGAGGGCTTCACCCAGCTCTGCTCGACACGCTCTGAACTCGGGCTCCGGGAGCTGCTTCCCACTGGGTGCAGGGATGGGACCCTTCGCGCAGCCCCTTGGCTTTGGCTGGAGCCTGGCTCGAGCTGTGGTTGCAGCTGGCAGGAAAGAGGAAGGGTTGTGGGGTGTTTTTCACCATTCCTTGCTCTCGGGTCAGCACATCGCTGAGGCCATGGCCAAGCCCCATCCCTTTGCTTCATGGGGCCCAGCACCTGAGAGCGAAGGAGAAATGGGAGGAAAAAGGCTTTTTGGGTTGATTTGTGGGCCCTGTGTGAACATTCCTGTGCTGTTGCCCTTTGCATCCCCATGTATAGATTGGAATCCCAGGGTTTCATCCTGGCTCTCATGTTGGCTTTGAGGGAAGACAGGGGAAGCTCAGCCTACCCATGGCTGCAATGGGAACCATAGAACCATGGCCTGGTTTAGGTTGAAGGGACCTTAATGCTCATCCAGCTGCATCCCCCTACCATGGACAGGACCTTCTGTGTGTTGAGGGGAGGAGGGTTCTCAAGAGTGGGACCAGCCTGGTCTTCACTTGGAACCCCAACAAACCCCGGTGAGTAAAGGCCAGTGTCAGGCTGGCAGCAGCACTGCGGGCGGCAGGGACGTGCACCCGGCACAGCCCAGACGAGGAGCATCTCCCAGCTCAGAAAGCGATGAAATGGGGCTGGAGGGGGCAGTTTCCCTGCAGGGATGCAGGTGCTGGAGGTGAACAGCACAGACCTGGAAGAGGTCCCTGTGGGCTGCTGCTTGGGGAAGGGAGGCTGGCAGCGGGGTGGGAAGGCTTGGGGCAAAGGCATCGAATCTTCCTTCTTCTTCATTCTTCCTTCCTTCTCCCTTCCTTCTCCTCTGCTCAGGGCCAGAGCAGCCCCCCCGCTCCCCGCCAGCCTCCCCACAGCAGGGTTTGGCCAACCGTGGTCGCAGGGATGGAGCTGAGCACTGAAGCACTGCAGTAAACAGGGCTGGTGCTTCCTGCCCAGCTGCAGCAAGAGGAACCAAGGCACAGGGGCGCTGGAGCTGTGGCAGGGGGACCCATGGGTGCTGGGGGGTCCCCGCCTTGCCCCACTTCCTGCACTGCATTGTGGGCCCCCCAGACTAATCTGGGGGGGGGGGGGCAGGCTGTGAGAACCCCCCCAGCCATCCCAGGGCTGCAAGGACAGGGAAGTCCCGGCAGGGAAAACGTTTCTGGTGTAAATGAAGAGGCGTGAGTCTGTCTGGGGGGTGCCAGGCATGGGGACATTAACAGCAAAGGCAGGTTTCATTGGAATGTCAACCGGAAAGCAGCTTAGTTAAGAGAAGATGCAGGAGATGGGATGGAAATAGAAGGGTTTGTACCCAATTCTGCACTGCCTGGTGTCCTGGTTTGATGGTCCCAAGCACTCCATGCAGCATGGAGTGGAAATGAAGAACTACAGTACGTGCCATCCCATGGGGGACACCTACATGGGCTTGTCCTATGTGGGCTCCTGGCCTTTATCTCAGGGCCCATCTCCTGTCTTACAGGTGGGATCTCAGCAGACAACAGCACCTGGAACAGCACAGGTAACCATCCCCACATGTCCCTCCCATTCCCACTGGATGCCACGAAGGGGTGGGAGATGTCCCATCACCCATTGGCCTTCTCCATCGCAAAGGCAATTCCCAGGCTGCAAGCTCCTTGGTGGCATCCCCCAGCCCTGCTCCCTCTGCAAAGCCACATCTGCTCTGTCCTCCCACGTCTCCTCCCTGTGCTCACAGAGCGCGTTGTGTGAGCAGGCACTGGAGCCGTCACACGGTGTTTGTGTCATTCCCACCAGCGGGGGGGGGGGGGGGGTCAGCATGAACTCTGCAACCCAAAATACCAGCTAAACCCACAAAACAGAGCCAAATCACGAGTGCTCACATCACAAGAGCCAAGCTCTGCTCAAAAGCAGCATAATCCATAGCAATGAGAAGCTGTTGATTTGGGAGATGCTGGGGGTGTCTCGTGGGAGCAAGATGCCCCCAGGGGCAGGGGCCCTGCTCTCCCTGACCCCCCTTGTTCCCGGCAGACAGTGGGTGCATCACGGTGAGGCAGTACCCACGCTTTGTGGGGGCCAAGAGGAACACCCCCATCCAGTTCATCTGCTACTTCGAGGACCCCCACAGCATCCAGTGGTACAAGATGGCAGAGGGCAGCGACGACTTCCACGAGCTGAGTACCAGCACCCCCCGCTACAGCATCCAGACAACAGAGAACTTCACCAGCTTCACCATCTCCAGCATCACCTACGAGGATAACGGCATCTACGTCTGTGACAGGAAGAACCTCACAGCGCAGCAGCGGCCGCACGACTGCGGGACACAGCTCAAGGTCCTGAGTGAGTGAGAGCTCCCCATCCTCTGCACCCCAAGCCATGCTCCTTCTCCTTCTCTCACCCTTTCCCCCTCCATGGCTAGAGGTGGCTCCTGCCCGAGTGTCTCGCCCCAGAGCTGGTCCCTGATGGCCATTTGCAATGCTCTGGTCTGTCCCAGTGGGGAGAGCTGGTCACCCCTGTTTCCCCATCTGCTCTTGCTGACGCTTGGAGGTGGAGCTTGGAGCTACCCCTGTGCTGTTGCTCCCAGGTCACAGTAACATCCGGCAGGTGCAGAGCAGGAACACCCTGAAGGACGCCATCATCATCATCCAGTCCATCCTGCTTGTCATCTTCATCAGTGTCCCCATACTCCTCTTTCTCAATAAAGTAAGTGACAGCATCTCCAGTAGTGGGGATGTCCCCAGAGTGCTCGCAGCAGAGTCCTGTGTCCTGGGCAGGATGCTGCTATGGACAGGGGTGAGCAGGGCTGGGTTTGGGGTGCTCCGTGGGAGCATGGCTACCTCAAGTGGGAAAAGAAGCATCTAAACCAGTGTGGGGCTGTGTGGGTTTGCCTGCGGAAGTGGGGGGACGAGGCTGGGGACAGAGGCTGGGGGATCCTGGTGGGTGCTGACACCCAACCTGTGACTCTCGTCTCCACAGGGCGAAGGCAAGGAAAGCCTGGAGGAGGACCACACCTATGAGGTAATGCTGCATTCATTAGAGAAGTACCTCTGCAATATCAGCCTGAGCAGCGAGAGAGCCTCGTGCCTTTGCTGGTGTCTGATGGGCACCACCAGCCCCTGCAGGGCACATCAGGACATTTTCCTTCCCAACGCCTGTTGCACATCAGCTGTAAAGAGCTGCTCATAAAACCAAGCCACGCTCTGAGCACATCCAGCATCTACTCCCATCCCCTCTCAGAAGCTGCCCCAGTCTCTGGGGGAACACCCTGGACATGGGTCCCAAAAGGGCTCACAAACCGTGTAGCTGAGGCCCTCAGTGCCACGGTTTAATGGTGGCCTTGGCAGCGCTGGGGAATGGCCGGATGGGATGAGCTGAGAGGTCTTTTCCACCCTGGTTGATGCCATGGTTCTATGTGCTGTGGGTGAAACCGTGGCCCCCTGCCACGTCTCAGCCCCTCTCTTGCTGCAGGGCCTGGAGGTGGAGCAGATGGCCACCTACGAGGACATCACCCCCTTCCGGGATGTGAAGGCCAAGTGGACAGTTGGGGAGCACCCAGGAGAAGAGTGAGGGGTCCTGCACCCAGCGCCAGCATCCACAGGGACCGGCCTCAGCTCCTGTCCTGGACCACAGCTTCGATGAGTGCCTGGATCCCAGGCTGTGATCCCTGGTTGCAAACCACCTCCGGCGTCCCTGCACAGAGCCCAGGCCCTGCTATACACCCCTAAAGCCCCTGTAGAAATTAGGAGCCACCTGCAAACCCCCCAGTATCAACCTGGCCCCAAGCCCCGGCAGACCCACACCACACCAGCACTGAGCTCCTGCATGGGCAATGCCACGCAAGCCCCACAGTGGGTGGGGGTCTCCTCCAGCCCCACCACCCCTGGGAAGGACAGGACCAGCCATGGTCACTGTGCGCTGCAAGGACCCTCCTGGCCTGCGAGACCCCACTGCAGCCCTGGCAGAGGAGCCAAGGTGAGCAGCAGCATGGTGAACAACCCAAGGTGAGCAGCAGCATGGTGAACAACCCAAGGTGAGCAGCAGCATGGTGAACAACCCAAGGTGAGCAGCAGCATGGTGAGCAACCCAAGGTGAGCAGCACCATGGTGAACAACCCAAGGTGAGCAGCACCATGTGGATGATGGAGGAGGATTTGGTGCCACCAGTAGCCTTCCAGCCATGGCTGTACCCAGCAGCTGTCGGAGGTAGAGGATCCTCCAAACCCACTTCATTTTCCTCAAAGATGACAGGAAAAGCTGGGGATGCAGCTCTCAAGAGCTGGCCCGTGCCATGAAGATGTCCCTGCACTGAGGGACCCGTGCAACCTCAGAACGGATGGGACAGATGTGCACTGTGGGACACAACTGCCCAACTGCTTTTTGAGTCCTAATAAAGGTCATGGGTAAATTCCCATCCTGCTCCCTCCCGTCGTGCCCGGTCTGTGCCCGGTCTGTGCCTGTCCCACAGCCCTGGTGCCAGTGTCACTGCCCTGGGTATAAGGAGCAGCTTCCCATGGGTCCAGCTCAGCTGGAGCCCAAACTTCACCCCCTGAGGGCCCTGAGCACAGGCTGGGAGGCAGAGCCAAGAGCAGCCATAGACTTCTCCACATCCCAACAGGTGAAAAGCTGCTTCACTTGTTTAGATACTGCTGGTGATGCTCAGGGTAAGGCAGACACGGGACCACCCTGAAGAGAATTGAGGGTTTTTTCTGTCCCAGAGAAGAGAAAGGGCTTGGAAAAGCACAGAGTGTCACACTGCTTTATGAGATGCTGCTTTGGGCCACAAATGAAACACAAAAGCATGCCGAGCTGGTACCCAAGAGCTGCTGATGCAACTGTAATTGTGCCAGTGACCTCTGTGTGGCCAGCCCAGCGCTTCCCAGTGGCACTACTTTCTCCACGGCACTTCTGCCTCATTTAATGCCCAGAGAAGACTGGGAACAAACCAAGCCTCAGGGGCACCGCACAGGCTGGACCATCCTGGTTGCATCATGGATCATTGCTTGGCTGCAACTCTGGCCACAGCAGGGGTTGGAACTGGAGGATCTTTAAGGTCCCTTCCAGCCCAAACCAGGCTGGGATTCTGTGATTTAGCACCATGCTTGTACTGAGAGAGCAGCGAGGCAGCAAGTGACGGGCAGGACTTGGGTCCCTGGTGCTGCACCAATGCAGCTGCAGTGGTAGAGCATCACCATACAGAGGCAGCCAAGGCGGTGCTGGGCTGAGGTACCCACTGCCCTGCTCTCCTCTGACAAATATTGACATATTTAAACAGGATCTGGAGGAGAAAAACACCCCCAGATGTTGCTGGCTATTGGGTGACGGGACACCTGATAGCTGCAGGACCCACTGTTCCCTCTGCACCAGGGACTGACATTTACCCTGCGACATCACCACGTCTCCAGTGAGCAAACACCCAGGGGCTTCTTGGAACAGGCCACGCTCTCCTGGCATGTTTATTAACCAGCTCTTGCACCCTCTGCCTCAGTGATGCTGCTGCCTCCAGGAAACCGGAGCTGTGCCGGGGGCACAGGAAATCCAGGGCCTGGAGGAGCCACATCACCACCATGACAGTGGAACCATCCCTGAGCCCAGGGCAAAGGGCTGAAACAGCCTGGTTTGAGAGGCAATTCATGCCTCTTGAGGAGGAAAAGTCCTTTAAGCCTCCCCTGGAGCTGCCTGTCCTAGGTTCTGTCTTGGTTTGCTCAAACGCAGGGATAGGTGTGCAGTGACCTCTCCTCTTGCCCATGTCCCCTTCCCCATCTCCTCTTCCCCATCTCTCTACCTCCTTTCTACACCAGCCCCCTGCTCAATGCAGAGATATTTCATGTTTGCATCTCAGACAAGAGCAGGAAGATGCTCTTAACGAGATCTTCTCCTTGCTTTGTCCAGCTGAGGACAAGAAACCTCCCAGAGCTCTGGCAGCTGGATCTGCAGCAGGCAGGCTGGAAGCTGGCTATGACAGCAGTTTACCTCCCCCATGGCAAACCAGGTCACCAAAACGATTCACTGACCCTTTACAGTTTTGGTAGAAGCAGAAAGAAAGGACTTGGCAGGAACAGGATTCACCTCATTGATAACATCCATCCCTGCTCACGGTGCGGGGGAAAAGGTCCCACCTGATTCAAGTCACATCTCCCAAACTGGCCCACCAGCCCTGCCAAGGCTGCAGCAGCAGGCAGGGAAACCAGGCGGACACAGCAAGTTCCCCCGTGTAAGCACTGAGGTGATTTTGGGATGGGTCTTCCTATGATGAAGAAACCTTTATTTGTAATAACCAACAGAATACGGCAAAATCATCCCCAGGCAAACAACCTCCCCAGCCTTTCCATCTCTGTATAAATGACTGCGATTAGGGAGCACCATTGCGAACACTTGTGCATTTACGCACACAGAAGATGCAGATATGTTGTTGTGATCATGACACACATATACATTTTAAACAGACCCCCTGCTATATAAGGGGTGGCTCAGCAGTGGCCTTCGTCAGCCTACATGAAAGGAGGAAACCTTCACTGCCAAGCAACACCTGAGCAACGAACCAGGCAGAAATGGCTCCAGGTACTTTCCTTTATTTCAGTTTTGAAGGATCTGCTCCAGGGAGACCTCAGAGCAGCTCCAGTGCCTGAAGGGGCTCCAGGAAACCTGGAGAGGGGCTTGGGACAAGGGCCTGTAGGGACAGGGCAAGGGGAATGGATTTAACCTGCCAGAGAGGAGACTGAGATGAGCTCTTAGGCAGAAGCTCTTCCCTGTGAGGGTGCTGGGGCGCTGGCACAGAGTGCCCAGAGAAGCTGTGGCTGCCCCATCCCTGGATGAGGGGAGATGATGATGAAGATGATGATGACAATGATGGCACTGTGCTGTGCTATACACACTCAGTGCCAGCCTTAAATGAAAATGTGGCAACTTACAAATCAATGAGAAAGGATACTTTTCCCCACAGCGCCACTTTAATCAAGGAATTAACTCAGGTAGTCGTTGGCCTAAACTGGACAAGGAGAGGGTGGAGAACATGAAGAACAAGGTCAAGATGCAGTTATAACAGTTACCATTAAAGTAAGTGTTGGCAGGAATATTAAAACTCATACTCTGAGCTCAAAGTGGGGATCAGGATGACGTCTAATGTGCGCATCCAAGTCCTACAGGCTCCAGGGCATTTGTCTGAGGTTAACTCTGGGGTCTTTGCAAGCACAGACGAACACTTGTGTGAGTGGATGGCACAGGCTGAAAACCTTTAGGGCAGCATGGGCAGAAGAGGCTGAGGCTCAATCGCCGAGGGCCAGCCTGCTCCTCAGCACAGTCACTAAAGGGCTGCTAACATCCCAGCTCTCTGCTTTGCTGCAGGGTCCTGGCTGTCTCCTCTCTTCCTTGCTGTGATCACTCTGGGACTGCAGTGGCCACAGGAAGCTGCCACCTTCCCGGCCATGCCCCTTTCCAACCTGTTTGCCAACGCTGTGCTGAGGGCTCAGCACCTTCACCTCCTGGCTGCTGAGACATACAAAGAGTTCGTAAGTTCTGTGGCCTCCGGGCACGTCCTCCACATTAGCTTGATGGTTCCAGGACTGTGTTATTTCCTAGAGCCAGAGACTTTTCAACCATCAGCTCTTGATGAGGAGAAAGGGTCTCAATAGGATAGGACAGGCTCTGTCCCCACCTCTGATCCTGCACAGCCTCCTCCTTGGGGCCATCAGTGCCCATGTCCAGAGCTGCTGCACAGGCTGAGGTCTCTCAAAGAGACCCTGCAGCAGTGGGAGATGGCACAGATGCTTTGCAGGACTTTCTGTGTCAGTCACCTTTGGCCCTGGGCAAGTCTGAGAGCTTAAAACTATGCAGTTCCTGCTGCTGCCAGGAGCAAGAGCTGTCCTTGGGGGTGATGTGATCCATGGGAGAACCCTCAGCACCTCAGCTGAGTGTGAGGAAGACCTTTAGGTCTTTTAGGTCCATTGGGCCAGCACAGAAACTCCTGCTCCCTACCTGCCAACCCTGTACAGAGACACCTCTCCTTTCCTTCTTGCAAGCTGTCCTGAACAGAGCCTGGGCAAGTGCCTCTTGTCTTCAATCAGTGCAAAGGCAACAGAGCTGGGTATGTTTGGATGTCTCCGCAGGAACGCACCTATATCCCAGAGGACCAAAGACATGCCAACAAAAACTCCCAGGCAGCATTTTGTTACTCAGAAACCATCCCTGCTCCCACGGGGAAGGACGATGCTCAGCAAAAATCGGTGAGTTTTCCTCCCCAGGGCAAGACCAGGCCTGTGTGAGGAGCTCAGCTGTGCCTCATTCCAGGGACAGAGGGTTTCCATCTGGGAGCACTTCAGTGCTTCATGCCTCCTCTCCCTGTTTCACTATTTAAACCCTGCATGAAGCAGGAGAGGCTCTTGTGGGTTATGCCATAAATCACAATTCCACCCCACGAATGAGGAGCAAGCTGTTGTCTGCACAGGACATGTCTGGGTGGTGCTCCTCAGCTTGCAAGTTCCCCTGCACCTGCTGTAGGAGCAGTGGCACGTCCCTGGGTCACCTCCAGCCCGGCTCAGAGGACTCCCAGGGAACTCCCAAACACTTCAGCTTTGAGCCTTTCTTTCCTTAATTCCAGGACATGGAGCTGCTTCGGTTCTCACTGGTTCTCATCCAGTCCTGGCTGACCCCGGTGCAATACCTAAGCAAGGTGTTCACCAACAACCTGGTTTTTGGCACCTCAGACAGAGTGTATGAAAAACTAAAGGACCTGGAAGAAGGGATCCAAGCTTTGATGAGGGTAAGTCACAGCATGTAGCATGACTACAGAATAACAAAGACCTCCCAGACACGGAGCACACACCTCCCACTGTGAACACCAGTGGCATCCTTTGGGCTTCATTTACCTTATAATGCTGAAATCATGACATCCTACTGCATTCAGTTCATCAGTGGGGAGTACAAGGAACCACAAAAAGGATAATAGCACTGCTGTTGCTGTTCAGATAGCAGTACAGATCACAATAGGCCAGACCCACTCTTTCCAAACCCAGCACCAAAGAATGCTCAGTTGCTTAAATCTGCTGTACAACCAGCAACAGAAAGTTTGCTGCATCTCTGAGCAAAATGCTCCAAAATGGAGTGAATTTTGCATTTAGACTTGTGACACTGTATAAAACAACCCGTACCAGCATGTACAGGTGAAGCCCATGCTCTTTCACATGAATACAGCACCCAGATTACTGAGACCTGGCAAGTGATGTTCTTCAAGGGTCACTCTTTACTTTTGCTCTGTTGTTTTAAGCGAAACTGCTTATTATCGCCCAGTCATGCTTACTCTACAGCTAAGTTTACCTGTCAGTGCACAGAGCTAGAGCTCCAAGATCTGTATCTGTGAGGAATGAGGCTGGGCAATTACACAGCGCCTTCTAGCATCTAAATAGCTCTGAGAGTCAGGTCCTGAGAGCAAAGAGAGATCTCCTGTCCTGACATTCCGCTGGAGTAAGTAGGTGTATGTATGAGTATCACTTCCAGGTTTTGCTCTCCATTTGACATGTGCTTGGTCATTAGGAAGGAGTACACAAACTAGACAAATAACCACACTTCATCCCTTTATAACACTGTTTACTTAACCAAAGGTGTCTGTTTGCTGTATCAGGGGGTGGGCAAACCAGGGCAGGAGAGGCAGATCTGTCACCTCTGGATGCATGCAGCTGGGATCTGGGTTTGAGCTTTGTTCACTGGGAAAGTGGGAGAAAAGAGAATTATTTTCCTGGTTCCCCATCTCCTTAGCAAGAGTAACCACAGAGAGACCCGCAGCGCTCCCTTTAAGACCCCAAAAGGCACATTCTTTCCTCCCTGCAGCCTTGTGCCCAGCTCCCTTCTCCCTACCAGCAATTTGTATAGCATCCCCCCTGCACAACTGCCCTGTCTGTAAGCACGTAGAAGTAGGTTTGAAATATTATTGGGGGGGGGGGGGGGGGGGGGCGGCGGGAAGAAGCCCCAGTCGCCTCTAAAAGCCGAGCAGGAGCCTCATCCATGGGTCCCTTGGAGGATGCTGATGCACCGGCACCTCTCCAACCTCCGCAGGAGCTGGAGGACCGGAGCTCGCGGGGTCCCCAGGTCCTCAAACCCAGCTACGACAAGTTCGACATCCACCTCCGCACCGAGGACGCGCTGCTGAAGAACTACGGCTTGCTGTCCTGCTTCAAGAAGGACCTGCACAAGGTGGAGACCTACCTGAAGGTGATGAAGTGCCGGCGCTACGGGGAGGGGAACTGCACCATCTGAGCGCGGGGACGGCTCCGCCCTGCTCCTGCCCCTCGCTGGCCGCGGCTGCCCTGCTCCCTGTAAAGACAAGCGGAGAATAAACGCTTCTGCCGACACGAGTCTGGTTAATGGGGGGGATGCGGGCCCGAGCTGCTACAGGGGCGGCGCTGAACGGGGGCTTGGACAGGGCAGGTTTGGTGCCGGGGCTGCACCCGCGGGGCGCCGGCGATGCCGGGCGGGAGGCAGGGCCCGGCATGGCGGAGCTGGTGCAGTTCCGGGTGCCCGCCGGGAGCGCGCAGACGCTGCTGGTCTGGGGGCTGGAGCCGGAGCCGGGGCTGGGGGTGAGGAGAGCGCTCGGAGCGGGACCGGGGACCCCCGAGGTTGGGGAGTGGGGCCGGGTCCTCCCCGCAGCGTCTATCAGGGCCCCCTCTGCGCTGGTGGCTTCACGTGGATGTTGACAGCGTGTTCCCGATCCCTCTCTGTCCGGTTTTGGGGGGGGGTTTGTTCAGTGTTCCCGAGGCATTCTGGCGGCAGGGCCAGCGCGCGGTCCTTTGTGCCCCCCCCGTGCCACAGCAGAGCTGCACAGATCCCAGAGTAAGGTGGAGCAAGACCCCATCATCTGCCAGCAAAATACTGCAGTTTGCTCAGGCAAAGCATTCCCACCCAAAGGATGGTGGGGAGCAAAGGGGGTCCGGGATGAGGGTGAATGGGGGGCAGGAAGCCTCATGTCCCACTTGGCTCTCCTCCCAGTGCAGAGGCTGGAGGATATTAGAGATAAGGGCAGAGATCCAGTGAAGTTGAGCTTATTGTTGTGGAGAGATGCACAGCCTCAGAGATTGTTCCAGGGCTTATTCCTGTTAAAGGGTACTGAAACCTGCCCTCATTCTCTAGGTAATCAGGCCTTGCGAGCAGTCTCCCGTGGCTCAGCTCTTCGGGCACCCAGAGATATTTCAAAAGCCCTTTTTTTCCTCTCTTTCTTTTCCTCAGCATTCCCTGTTTTCAGCGTTTTCGAGGTTCGGGCCGCTCTACTTGGTGCAAGCGCACAGGAACACGCGGCCGTGGCAGGGCCTGGCTATTGCGCTGTTATCAAGTTCTGTTCAGCTGGAGATGCCAGCAGAGCCCAGCACGTGTGCAATGGGCAGAGGCTGTTTCAGAAATCTCCCTTGAAGGTAAGCAGAACACGCAAGTGAAACCTGCAGGACTCGCGCCTCCAGCAGCAGGGTGGAATCACATGGAACACTCGGTGGTGTCAGTGATGTTTCTCGTGCAAAAGGTTTACTGACTTGTGGCTGGGTGCTCCCACTATGGAGATGCCCCCCCCCCCCCCCCCCCCGCCCGGCTCCCAGGTACCAGGTAGCATTCAAGCAGTAAAACGGCAGCATCTCTCCTCTGAAATAATCTACAGAGCCTGCTTCTGGGTAACAGATACTTAACACTTGTGATAAGAATGTTTCACAATCACCCTCACCTTTACTGAGAGGGTGCTGAGGCACTGGTACAGGGTGCCCAGAGAAGCTGTGGCTGCCCCATCCCTGGCAGTGCTCAAGGCCAGGTTGGACACAGGGGCTTGGAGCAAGCTGCTCCAGTGGAAGGGGTCCCTGCCCGTGGCAGGGGCTGGAGCTGGAGCTGGAGGAGCTTTAAGGTTCCTTCCAACACAAACCAGGCTGGGATTCTTTGTGGTCAAGAACTAGGTTACCTTCGGATGTTTCTCCCAGAGCAATCAGTGGTATCATAGTGGGAACCTTACAGCAGAGCCTGGCTAAGCAGGGTTCTTCTTTCCTGCACAGGTTTGTGTTTGCACCAAGCAGAAGGGGTTTCAGCAAAAAGTCCTCGCTCTCAGCAGCAACAAGGGCCAGGAGCTGGCCAACCACTACCTTGGCTTTAACGGCTGGTCCAGTCGCATCGTCACAGTAATGAGCCCTTTATATTCACCCATCATCCTTCCCCTCATCCTCTTCTCAATTATACTGGTTGGTGGAATGAGAGGAATTGTCCTCAAATCAGCAAATAAGAGACAGTTACAGGAGCTGTATTTCAGACCACCAGTGGGGGTATTTTGAAAGCATGGGGAGAGAAGGCAGTTGCCTTGGCTTCTGCTCTGCTTCCATCCACAGCTTCTGCCTTGGACTCCCATGCTGTGCAGAGGTGTGTAGTATACGGGCATAGCCCTAAGTGTTCCTAATATCCCCTCTAATCTAATCCAAATGAATTATCTGTGGGCTTCCCAACAGCTGCAGAATGTATCTGGCTTTGTTGGTGAGAATGAGGACCTGGGAAGGACGTTACCTGTGAAATACCTGTGTGCTGTGGAGGTGACACTGCCCGAACACGGGGTGCGCACAAGGGGAGTCGCCCTGGCCGAGGCAGATGTAGAGAACAGTGCAGGTATGCTCTGGGGGCAGCTGGAAGTCTCTCTCAGCAGCCATCACAGGCCCTGAGCAATCTTGCCTGTGCACAGTTCGTGGGTCTGAATTCAGTGGGAGGCAAGGGTCTGAGCTGCTGTGCTATGCAGCAAGGGATCTTGAACGTGCCTCTTCCCTCCCTGATTCACACTGGCATCACTTTCCTACCCTCTGTTCTCTCCCTTTTGCCTGCAGTGTTATCATTCCTCATCACAGCCACTTCTGTGCCTGTGTCTGTGCTGCCTCCTGCCACAGGCCTAAGGATCATGTGCTGTCATGGCCTGGCACATGAAACCCCTGTGAGGGTGCTGCTGACGACTCCCAAACCATAACCAGCTTTCTTATCAGACTGTGAAGCTGTTTGGTTAGCAAAATGTAGCCGGTGTGCTTCCTATGCAGAGCATCATCTTAATATCAATACTGTGCTGCTTGTTGTGTTCAGATTCTCTTGAGTTGCTCACAGCAACAAGAAGAGTTCAGAAACTTGCAGCTGGGAGAGCTTTGGCTAGTGCCTTTCAGAAGATACTCCTCATTGTCTTAGGTAAGGCTTAGGTCTATATTAAACACTGGGGTGGTTTTGCTGATATTACAACTTTCATGATCATCAATACAAATCCATTTTCTCTGTGCTTCTCTTGGGATTCATTGAGACTTGGGGGGTCTCAAGCAAAATGAAGCCTGTGTCTGGTCTGTAATGATTTAACAGAGTGGTTCCACCCTATGAGCTGTGTGAGCAAGAGGAAGGTCCACAAGAGGTCAGATTTTTTGATGATAGTCACTGAAATTCCAAATTCCAAGGGTGTAAATGCTGTCAGGGAGAGCTTTTTAACACTACATGTGCATGCCACATAAGGATATGAGGAAGTTCTGCTTCCAGGGGTGACATGAACTGAACTGCAGCATTTTGCACATTCCTGTCCTAGTTCCAAGCCAGCCAGGTGCTAGCAAAGGTCTGTGCCCTACGGCTGTGTTCAGTGTTGCTTCTTTGGGGCTACTGTCTCCTTTGAGTCTCTAATGGTAGGAGCTGGATTTGAGCCTGCCCAGGAACTGCTAGTTCTGCTTCCTCTGGGTTCCAGGTGCTATGCTCTCTGAGCTTTTAGATTATGCCTGTTTATGTGGTATCTGAGTACTTTACTCTTTTATGCTTATCATGACAGATCCTCATGGGATCGGGTCAGTGCCACTGTCCTCATTCTACAGCCTTTCATCTGCCACGTTCCTCCCCTGGCTTCATTAAGGTGTTCATGTGAAAGGTGGGTTTCTGGGTTCAGATGTTGCAGTGCTTCCTGCTTTCTGATCCATCACATGCACAGGGACTGACAGTTAATGGGTTCCATCTCTCCATGGATTTGTTTCCTCAGTCTCAGTTTCCACTGCATTTAGTAAGAGCCATTTGGTTTGCTGCGAAGAAGGAGAAAGGCCAGAGAAAGCAGCACACTGGTTCAGACCAGCCGCTCTCTCTGAAAGCCATTGTGAAGCAGAATTATCCCATCTGGGGTTTCGGGCTGGTTTCTTGGCATTACACACGGTAGTAACTCACTGTGGCTCTGCTGCTGGTTCTGTTTCAGGGAATGGGAAAGTGGCCATGGAGTACAGTTCCTCTCAGGAGGAGCCCACAGACTGCAACAGAAGAGGAGCTGAAGGGGCTTGTGCAGGTGGGAACAGGGGGTGATCAGCTTTTGTACAGGGCCTCTGTGTTACCTCTGGGGACTGGAGATGGAGCTGTTGACTGTTACAACCTCCGCCATCCCTCTATGCAGCAATCACCTCCACTTAAATCCCAGGAAGTAATTACATCTTGGAATTGTACAGCACGTTAAGGATTTAAAACTCCTACTTCTTTGTGCACTGTGGAGAAACGCAGGTGTATTTTAAATGCTAGAGGAAAGTGAGAAGTACACTCTGTACAGCCCCTTCTATGTGACCTCTTTTAAACCCCCAGAGAGCTGACCTAACATGTGCTGACCGCAAGAGAAGCGAGCAGGGAAGTCAAACATGAAGCATGCTGCTTCTCAGAGCTCTCCTTTGGCACAAGAGCCATCCCTCAGCTCCCCGCCATCTCACTTCCCTTGGGATGGGATGTGGGAGGGGATTCTGCATGCTCTCTCCACAAGGCACCTTCCAGGCGGATAGGGAGAGCAGCAGACAGGAATTCAGGACTTGCTTGGGAGGGGAGCTGCTGGGTGTCCTCTTGGTTCACTGCCTTGTGATCTCAGCCATTCCAAAGTGGGAATGTTCCCAAGTTGGTAAATTCTGGGGAGACTGTCTCAAAACCACCGTGTTTGCAGGTGCACGGAGATGAAGTTCACATATGTTGTAGAGCAAGAAACTGACTCTGGATTTCTCTTCTCAGGTCAATGAATTCTCCTTAGAGCAGTTTGACCTCGAAGAAGAAGTTTTGTCTGACCTCAGTTTTGATGCTGAGCCAGGAGATGCCATCTAATGAGTGGAGCTTTGTCTTCGCAAAGTCCTGCAGTGTGTGATTAGGAATCAAAGTCTAATGTTGAGAACTGAGTTGTGTGTCATAGGCAGTGTTTTCATCTTCTCCAAGTAACAGTGAAAGAAATGGGCAATAAACATGGTGTTACTAAAATTAAGCCCCAAAACACATGGAGTTCTCAGAAAGGAAGTGTTTTCCTGTCAACTTATCCATGTCAGCTATATCTGGAAGCCAGCTTAGCTGCATGGTTATTATTGAGACAGCAGAAGAGATGTGCAGAGCACTTGCAGAAGAATTACAAGGAGCAAGTCCTCCCTGCAAGAGCCTCCATGCAGCCCAGGTAGCCCCAGTGTGCAGGAGAAAGCTGGAGACAGCAGGAGTAGCTGTGGTACTTCCAGCGCACAGCACAGAAAGAAGGATTTCTTTCTCTAGGTGAAGTAACCTCTAAAGAAACAAGGCCAAGTCTTGTAGTAACGTGTTGAGCCCCAAGTCTAAGTAACTGGGACATTATCACTGTGTAAAGCCAAGATTCTTTCTCATTTCAAACAGGTTCACCAAATTCAGCCAAATCTTGTAACCCCGAGTGGTGAATGAACCTCAGGGGCAGCACAAGCGATGGGAAAGGGGCATCAGGCTCACCAGATCAACGCGGGTAGCCTCTTGCTTTCACTCAGACTCAATAGGGTTTCGGCTCCTGTCCAAACCTCAGGTTTGGTACAAGCCGATTTTATGTATCTTAAAGCAGAAACTTGCCAAGTTTGTAGACTTTGTGACCCTGCTATCTTCTGTTCCTTTTCTTTCTAAAGGTACTGTTTGAACAAGAATGTCTTAAATATTAAGCTATGAATCCTATCCACTACAATTCTGCCTAGCAGCTCTAACTCCTACAATTCTGCTTCACCATTCTAGTAGCTTTGCCTCCTATGGCTCTGCTCCACCAAGCACAGCGACTGCTTAAGCAAGCAGGCACAATGCTAACCCTTTATTTCCCGGGATCACCGCCACCTGCATAACTTGCAGCAGTGAACGACCCTGAGTTTCCTCGGGGCAGTAAAATACATGGAGGTTCTCCAGGCTCAGCACAATGGTTGACTGCTGAGGAGGGTTCAGGACACGCGTGTGAGGACCGAGTCGTTCTCTGTTAACAGACTGTTGTTGCTGCTGCTGCGCCTGGCCCCGCCCCTGGAGCCCTGCCCGGGTCCCGGCTGCGCTGCGCTGGCCCGCGGGACCCCGCCCGCCCGCCAGCGGCCCGTCGCCATGCTGTGAGTACCCTGCGCAGCGTGGAGCAGAGCAAGGCCCCAGCACCATCCAGCGCTCGTCCTGTGCTGAGCAGTTCTGCTGTGTCCCGGCAGCAAAGGCAGCAGGGAGCTGGGACACGGACTTGAACTTGTCTGCATCCGTCTCCCATGGGATCTGCAGGATCCCTCCTGGTTCAGAGCCACGGGTGGGAGCAGGGCACAGCAGGAAGGAGAGAGAGGGTGCCATCATTTCTCCTGTACAAAACACCATTCGTTTTAACGTGAGTTTAGATTTCGCATTAGGTTTAGATTCAACATCCGGTTGAGATTACACAGTAGGTTCAGATTAGACAAGAAGATTACGTTTAGACTGGGCATTCTAGACCAATAAAACTGTTGTGTTGTCCTGGGAGTTGATGGACTTCTGCCTTCTGGAGCCCTGCCCTGCTCTTCAGAGCAAACCCAAGCTGTGCCTGGAGGCCCTATGAGCAAAGCACGTCAGTGTCAGCGAGGTGCTGGGTGCACGGCTGCATCCCTGCTCCAATACAGCGTGTTCTGGGGCTGAACAGGGTCCAAGAGCTGCTCTGGCACCCTGCAGCGTTCCGAGGGTGTGCGAGGTTGGAGAAGGAATTGACGCGTGTGAGGACTGAGTCGTTTTCTGTTAACAGACTGTTGTTGCGGGTGTAAAACCTCCGGGGCAGAGGCTGGGTTTCCCCCCGCCTCTCGCCGGGAGAAGTGGACCCCCCGCCGCGCGCATCTCGGCGGGCGCAGCGCCAACCCGTGCCTGCCGGAGCACACAAGGGCCAGGGGCGGGCGGGCAATGGCGGGAGCCCGCCGGAGCCTGCTGCTGCCGCCGCCGTGCAAGTGAGGGAGGTGGAGGCGGCGCGCCCGTGCTCCGCAGCTCCCTGTCCCGCTGCCTCCAGGCGCAGCCCCTCGGCCGGAGGGGAGCCGCTGACGTGCGGAGAAAGGCCTGTACAACCAATGAGCCCATGAGGGTTGTAAAGTGGCCATGTTTCTTCAGCGCTGGGCACCACGGGGCTAGCCCACCAAAGTCGTGCATGCCGCAGGCGCCCGTCCTTCAAACATGTATAGCATTGTGGTTACGCATTCATGAGAGCTGCTATACGCATTCATAACCTGTCCCCGCTTCGTACGATAATTAGTATTTCCGTGAACTCCTGCAACTGCGCATGTGCAGTGCTTTTTGACTCCCTTCAGTTGGAGCCCGTTGCCATCCAAATGGAGAAGGAGGTGCCCAGCAGTTCACCGCAGGGTCTGGGTGTGACACCGACACTTCCAGGTGTCCCTTGGAAGTGACACTGCTGTTTCCAAGCCAACACATCGGGCCTGAAGCTTTCCCCACATTGGAGCAACCAGCGCCAGTGGCAGGGACTATCCCATGTCACAATGGGGACGCACGCTCCCAGGCCTGGCCCCATTGTGACATGTGAGGTGTTCCAGGCTTTATCTGCCCAGCAGGGCCAGCACCGCCCCAGACCCGCTGCTGGGCTCAGAGCTCCTGGTTTGGATCCCCAGCCTTGAGCCTCCTGCAGTACCGAACATGCTCAGATCCTGCCCCGCCATGGCACCGCTGCAGCTGCTGCTGCTGCTGCTGCTGCTGCTGCTGGGCCTGGCCCCCAGTCTGGCCGGGCCCCTGGAGCCCTGCCCGGGGCTCTGCCGCTGCCGCAGGCACCGGCTGGACTGCAGCGGCGCTGCCCTGGCCCGCGTGCCCCCGGCCACGCACCAGCGAACCTTCATTATCCTGTGAGTGCCCTGCAGCTCCGGGCGCTGCCCCGGGACACCCCGAGAGCGGCTCCAGGGCCCCGCTGCCTGTGGGGGGCTGAGGGGCAGCGCCGAGGGGGCAGCTCCAGGCCACAGCCCTGGGGCAGGGGAAGGGTTTGTGCTGGGGGTGACGCTGCCAATGGCTTCTCCGCAGGGATTTCAGTGGGAACGCGCTCGCCCTCATCCCCACGCAGGTGTGGCAGGGATACCCGTGGGCTGAGAAGCTGTGAGTATCCACCAGCGTCGGACATGGCGCAGGGGTTCCGGGATCCCCATCCCTCCGCCGGGCTGTCGAGCACCGCACCAGTGCTTGCCGCGTGCAGCCAAGGCCGAGCTGCTCAGCAAGGAGGGCTCTGAATCCCCAGAGCTGCTCCATGGCGAGCAGTGCCCGGGGCTGTGTCCCTCCCTCCCGCCCCCGGGGCCATCCCTGGGCCTGAGGAGCCCGTGCTCGGGCTGCAGTCAGGGTCAGCAGGCCGGGAGCAAGTGCCTGCTCCTGCCGGGAGGGTGATGAGCCCCGGCGGGACCCGCGGAGGTGCTGCAGGGCCGCTGCTGCAGGGCTGCTCCCCCGACAGCTCCATAGCCCCTGAGCCGCGGTGCCACTGCCCGTGTCCGTCTGTCTCTTGCAGGGTCCTCCAGCACAACAGCCTGCGGGCAGTGAAGAGGCGCTCACTGGAGGGGCTGCTCCTGCTGAGGCACCTGTAGGTACCCCCCTGCCCGCGGCGCTGGGCACAGCCTCCCCCGGCCCTGCCCCTGCTGCCCAGCCCGCCCCGGGAAGGGCTTTATTCCTGCGGGGATCCCCCAGGGCACAGCAGGGCCTTGGTGCAGGGGAGGGCTCCGCAGGGACGCGCTGCGCTCCCACTGCCCCACGGCCAAGCAGGAGCAGGCGGCTGCTGCCCTTTCCCTGCACAGACCCACACGAGGTCGCCTCCTCCAGGGCCAAGCTCGTGCATTCGTCCCCTCTCAGCTCAGGTGCCCCAGAGCTGCCGGGGACTGAGCTCACGGTGCAGCTTCTCTCCATCGCCCATGGAGAGGAGCAGGCACTTCCCTTTCACCCACACAATGGGGCCGGGGTCTCTGGCTGAGCCGGCCATGAGACGCTGCCCACAAAGGTTCCTCTCTCCTTGCCTGCGGCAGAACAAGCCCAGGCAGGGGGTTCAGGCTGGGACAAGGAGCCTTTTGGTTTCTAGAGCCAGGCCAGAGGGCTCCTGCGCACACCAGAGCAGGGCTGTGCAGGGAGGTGACGTTTGGGAGCGAAGGGAAATAGCCCCATGCTGGTGACACAGGGCGTTTCAGCCGGTCCCTGAGGCCTCACGCAAGAGGTGCTTGGGGCGTGCATAAAGAACCTGCTCTGTTACCAGAGAGGAAAGTCAGCCCTGAAACACCCCGGTGGGATCAGAGCTGGGAGAACCTCTCTGAGCTGCAGCCACCGCGGCCAGGAGCGTGAGCCCCGGTTACGCACCACTGCAAGCCAGTGCCAGAGAGAAACCCCACGTGAAATGAGAGCTGTGGCACGTCTGTGCTGCCCGTGTGCGAGCACCCGAGAGGAACCAGCACCGTGCAAATGGCACCGACTTTTTGTGTTCTCCTGTTAACAGGGATTTATCTTACAACAAAATCCAGGCGATCGAGGCAGATGCGTTTGAGAACCTTCCTTTCCTGGAGACCCTGTGAGTTATGGGGGTTTCTTCCTGGTGTGCTTGGTGAAGCCCGTTTGCATTTAGAACCCGCTGCTGCTGGAAAAAGCTCCTGTTAGTTTTAGAACAAGGGCTCCAATTTCTGCTGCTGAAGGAGCAGCCGAGCCCAGGAGCTCAGGGCATGGCTGGTGGCCACAGCACGGTGGGGCCACGGCTTGTGCAAACACAGCCAGAGCAGAAGCCAAGGCTTGAGGCTTGCTGTGTCCCTGAGCAGGCAGAGAGGCAGCACACGTGCACTTCATCTCTCCCAGGCAGGTTAACAAACAGCAGGAGAGAAAATGGCGGCTTCCTCCCAGTTCCACCTTGGATGGGGCTGCTTGCTCCCGATCAGAGCTGCTTCACTCCAGCTTCCTGGGGGTCAGACCCAGTTCATTTCTGTGCTCTCCTGTTTCCCCAGAAACCTGGAGGGAAATCTCCTCACCGAGATCCGGAGTGACGCCTTCCGGGCATGGCACGGGATGCAGTTCCTCCAGACACTGTGAGTGTTCCAAGGGCTAAGGGTAGCTCAGAGCAGTGGCGCTTGTCACTGTGCTCTGCTCACCTCTTGCCCCACAGAGGCAGCAGCATCAATGCTGACTGGCAGCTCTGTCAGGCCACGGCTTTGCCTGGCTGGGTGCAGGAACAGAGACAAAGCTCATGGACAGTGGGAATGTGAGGGCAAGGCCTGGTGGAGGGGAGCCACCAGAAGGTGTGAGCTGAGGAGGAAAGAAAGAGACGTTGTGTTTTCCAGAAGCAGCACTTCTGGGCTTTTGATCTCTGGGCTGGAGATAGTCAAGACCTGGTGTATGTTGTGAATCTGCCCGTCAGCATCTGCCCCGGCCTGGAACCTTCACCCCAGCCCTTCCTCACACACGTAGCCCTGAGCCCACGCCACCGCTCACATCCTGCACCCCCAGCTCACAAGGGTGTTGGTTCATTTCAGGGTCCTGGGCCATAACCCCCTGTCTGTTATCGAGGACCCGTGGTTCTTCAAGCTGCCTTCAGTCACGCACCTGTAAGTACGGACTCCCTGTTAACAGCCTACCATGGCTCGCTCTTTGTGTCTCTGGGTGCCCCGTGGCCAGGAAAGCAGAGATCCAGCAGCAATCCCACCCTTCTCCTGCCGGAGGCAGCGGCAGAGCCAGGCAAAGGCTGAGCAGTTCTGCTGTGTCCCGGCAGCAAAGGCAGCAGGGAGCTGGGACACGGACTTGAACTTGTCTGCATCCGTCTCCCATGGGATCTGCAGGATCCCTCCTGGTTCAGAGCCACGGGTGGGAGCAGGGCACAGCAGGAAGGAGAGAGGGGGTTCCATCATTTCTCCTGGATTAGGTAGCAGCAGATCCCCCTGCGGCCAGCACCGCAAGCAGCAGGGACTGGGCTTGCTCCCGAGGCAGAGGCTGGTGCCGCCACCTCAGATGTGCTGTGTTTACTGCAACCTTGCAGGGACCTGGCTGCCACACGAGTGACTCGGCAGACGCTGCTCGTGCTGCTCCTGAGAACATCCCGCTTGGAAACACTGTGAGTGCAGGGGCCGGCTCCCACCGCCAGCAGATCTCAGCTGCTGGGACAAGGGCTCTGCGTGGGGAGCAAACCCGGCACCACAAAGCTGTCCACTGGGACACTGGGGGTGAGGGGAGGTTTCCCAGAGCCGCAGCGGACGCTGAAGCAGACCCCTGACGCGATTCGGCGCGCAGCCTGGGTTGGAGTCGCTGCCCTGGGTGGCGATGCTGAGTGTGTGTGCACAACCTCTGTTCTCTAGCAAGCTGTCCAACGACACGGCCTGCTGCCTCTGCCAGCACAAGCACAGCACCGAGACCCCGTGCAGGACCCTCAGCTTCGACTGCGTGAGCGTGTGCAGCACCAGTGCTCCCCGCTGCGGTAGGTGCCCCACGGCCCTGCCCGTGCCCCCCAGCTATAGCGAACCCTCTGAGCCTGCGTCTGCCAGAAAGCTTCTTGTGCCTGATGTGCTCTCGGTGTGTTACAGCTCCCCTGGCAGAGACACCAGGGCCCCTGACGGGAGCCGTGCCACCCAGGAAGGGGAAGAGCAGCTCCACGTTGAAGATCCAGCCCAAGGAGCCCTCGCTCAGGGAGCAGAGAACAGTCACGCTCACGGTTGTCCTAAGCCTGAGCAGCCCCGATGCGTCGGCACCTTCCCCTCAGCAGCTCTCGAGCCAGGAGAGCAACACCGCCAAGGAGCTGGTGCGGATGCTGCAGAGCGTTCAGCACAGGGGCTGGAGCAGCTCCACTGACACCAGGAGGTTCTATTCTCTGGCAGAGGGGCTCGTGGCACAGCTCAAGACCAAGCTGCACAAGGCCGTGAGCATCTTGACTGTGAAAAGCCCCAGCACAGCCCAACCAGCGCAGAGCGACGAGGGGCAGGAGATGCCAGCAGGACAGGGAGGAAGAGCCACAGGCTGGGAACGCCGTGAACCTGGCCGGCACTTGACCCGGGCAGAATCCGTCCTTTGGGAAGCAGTCCAGAGGCTGGACATCAGTGACATCCTGCCTGTCTCCGGCCACCAGCGAGCACCTCCTGCAGCACAGCTCCCTACACCAAACCCAACAGAGGCCCCGCATCTGGCCCAGGCTGGTTGGAATCACAGTCACACCAATGCCCTCCAAGAAAGCAACACGGCGGATGGGATGGAGGATGAGGAGGGGGCAGAAGTCCAGGAGGAAGCACCAGCTCCAACTCCGGACTCTGCTGGGACCAGCAAGGAGCAGAAGCTGCAGGACAGTGAAAGGACAGTGGGCAGCAAGGGTGCAGAGGAAGAGCTCCCAGCAGCAGAGGGTGGAGCAGAGCAGAGACTGAGCAGTATGCAGCATTTCGTCCATGCTCTGCCGGCTGACAACGGCCCCCCTGCTGCCAGCAGCGCTCCAGAGGCCACGGCTGCAGCAGAGCGTTCCCCTCGGGGCGGGAGCCCACCCAGCACCCCTGCAAGCACCACCAGGCGCGGGCAGCACAAGGGGCAGGAACCGCCCGTCCCAACGGCACCCGGCAGCTCCAGCGCCCCGGGCAGCGCGGCCACACCAGGAGCCGCCTTTGACTTCTTGTTCAGCCGCCACCGGCACTCACTGGTGCCAGACCGAGCCCTGCACGAGTTCATGGCACGCGTGGCTCGAGCCCTGCGTGGGGACTGTGGCCTGCCCCAGCTCCAGCCGGCCTGCTCCAGCATGGTCTCGAGGATGGGGCTGCTCCTGAAGCTGCTGAGCGAGAGGCAGCGTGACCCGGAGCCCTCTGACCTCCTGGAGCAGTGTGTGTGGGAGGAGGATGCCGGCACCTCGCATCCCCGTGCCCAGCCCAAGGACATGGACAGGGAGTCTGCAGAGACGGTACGAGAGAGCAGGGCACTGCTGCGTGTGTGTGTGTGGACAGTGGGAATGGAAGGGGCCTCCTTTTCCTTTCCTCTCCACCCTAATGCGCCCTCCTTTTCTCCCAGGAGATGGCCAAGCACACCTCTGGCCACAGGCGGCTGCTGGCGCTCTTGCTGTCCGCCATCATCACCCTCATCACATCTATTGCAATTCTGGTGCTGTGCTGCTTCAAGGTGAGCCATGGACTCATTTGGCAGAGCACTGCCAGCCAAGCCCTGGGGCTGGAGCACCCAGGGGAAGGGGGGTGCTCCCACAGTGCTCATGGGCCCCGGGTGCTGCTGCGGATGCCCGTGGATGTGCTGGGGAGCACAGGAGATGTTCTCCCGGACTTGGAGCTCGTTGCGGTACCCGCACCCTGGGGCTCGGAGGGGTTCAGAGCTGCTGGGAGCAGCTTGTCCTGGCTCCTGCCAGGGTCTGTCCCCAGCTCTGCTGGGCAGCTTCCCAGCTCCTTCCTTGAGCAGGGCTGTGGCTCCCTCTCATCACAGCCTCTGCCATCAGCCCTTCCCGGGCTCTATCCCGCAGTCCCTCACCCCAAGCATCCCATCCCCAGCTCCTGTCCTGGCCTTGCTCTGCTCCAGTGCCCGCTGTTTCCATTCGTGCAGCAATGCCCCTGCTCCCTGCCCTGAGCCCATACCCAGCCCTTCCGCATGGTGCCGCGGCTCTGGTGGGTCGGGGCCATGCCCGGGCACAGGGCAGGGGCCCCGTCGTGCTCACAGAGTTTGAACCTCCCTTTGGGGCCCTTCTCCTCCAAAGGGACAAATGAGCTTTCATGTGTTTAGAAGGCATCGTGCGTGTTGCAGGGGCGGGGGGACCCTGCAGAGGAGAAAGGCAGACATCAGCAAGGCTGAGATGAGGAGTTCTGGGTCATTCCAGAGGCCCGGAGCGCCTGGGAGCTGGGCAGAGAGGCATGGGGGGGCTCTTCCTAAAGGCGTGGCTGCTGGCACAGCCTTGCACGGATGCAGAAGGGGCTGGGCTGGAGGAAGAACCTTCCGGCTCCCCCGTCCTGCAGTGTTCCATGAGGAACCCCCGCGTTCTGAGTCTCTGTCTCTCCGTCACCAGGTCTGCACCAAGAAACCTGCCGAGGATTCCCAAGGCAGCAGCAGATGGTGCCCGCGGCTGCGACGGTAACTCCTGCCCTGCCCCAACAGTCTCTGCTCCAGCAGCTCCCAGCCCTGCCCAGAGCCCCCCCATCTCCTCCAGCACCACAGGAGTTCATCCTTCGCTTCTCATCCCCCTGCTCCCGCTTGTTTCCAGGCGCTTTCAGGACCTGCAAGTCAAGTGGCGCAACAGGAGCAAGGACACGGACACGGACACGGACGAGGAAGAGGTAAGGGCAGGGGCAGGCTCCAGCTCCTCCCGTCTGCCTGCTCCCTGCCCCGTGCCTGCTTCTCACCACTCCCAATCCCTGCCCTCCCAGTTCCCTCCGGAGTCGCTCCAGTCGGAACCCCAGTGGCTGCAGTATGTGCTCCAGCCCCTCGAGGCCCAGCAGGAGGCGTCCCTGGCCCAGCTCTACGATGGGGAGGGCTCCGAAGAAGAGGACGATTTGGAGGAGCGTGGCATAGCGTAAGTGTGATGGTGGCGATGCCAGCACCCCAGTTAAGCTCTTGCGCCATGTAGGAGCTCATGAGACTTTCCTTGGATGCTGTTTCCTTTCTGTTGTTTTCTTGGCCGCTATTTCCTGGCTTATTATGTAGTTGCTGTTCTGCCACTGCTGCTATGTCCCTGCTCTCATTTCAGCTGGTTGAGCATCGGATCCCAACCACTCCCTGCCATAAGGACAGTGGACTGATGTTTGGCCCTCTGGCTTCTGAGTGCCTAAGATCTGGAGCAATGGTCCCTGTCCGTGGAGCAGGATGCTGCAGGCCCCTGACTGCTCAGAAGCCCCCACGGCTCCTCCCTGGAGGATGCAGGGCGTCGGGATCCACTGTGCCCGTGGTGTTCAACACGATGCAAGGCAGGAATCAGCACAGGAAAAATCATTGCCTGCGTCTGAGTTACATCAGAGTGATGCCTGTCAGCAACTCAGGGGTCCTAGTGATCATTGCACTTTGTGTGGCGATGGAATCCCTTGTGATCATTGTGCTATGTGCAAAGGGCATGATAAGTGTCCCTGTCAATATCACAGTGAGGAGGAAGAAGAAACAAGGGAATAATTCCCCTGGGTCAACCGCTGTATTGTGCAAATAAACGTTTTGTTCATTGTTTAAATTGCATGGATGTTCTTAGAAAAGGGGGGGTGGCGGAATAGGTAACTTAGAGATATGTCCTGTTGCAGAACGTTGTGAAACCTGTGTTCTGAACAAAGAAACACCTAAGGAGTGGAATTTATGGGGGCTAAGATGGCGGTCAGACTTGTGGGAGACATAATATTTCTTCACCCAGAGACCAGACCCCAGCAACAGGTGGAGAAGCCCGGGAAAAGAAGACAACAGGATTGGCTGAAAGCCAAGACCAAAAAGTATAAGCGACTATGCCCAGAAGTTCCCCTCGTGCGTCTTGGGTGGAGCGGAGACTCCCCGGCGCACCCAGCGCTGCTTGCTTATTGTCTCTCGATATTAATTATAATAAAAATCGATTAAAACAGACTGGCGATATTAGGTTTTTATAACAGTGCAGCAGAAAGGAACAGACCCCAAGTCTGACCTCTGCTGACACGCAGATTGACTCCACAACTCGTCAGGGTTGTAAAGTAGGTATGCTTTATTCAGCTGAGGCGCATGGGGGTTGCTCCTCCAAAAGCATGCACACCCCCTTTGCCACTCAGTTTGTTTATATTACATATAATGACTACCTAAAAATAAGACTGCTTCACGCCTAATACGTATGCAAAACCTATTCCTGTCTGACATTATAATTAGTTTTTCTGGCATTCGTCCCATTGGTGTGCCTGCGCAGTGCCTCCTGGTGGTGGTCGTTAGGGGGCAGTGAGGATGAAGGCCTGTAGTTCCTCTTCATCAACGCGGGTAGCCTCTTGCTTTCACTCAGACTCAGTAGGGTTTCGGCTCCTGTCCAAACCTCAGGTTTGGTACAAGCCGATTTTATGTATCTTAAAGCAGAAACTTGCCAAGTTTGTAGACTTTGTGACCCTGCTATCTTCTGTTCCTTTTCTTTCTAAAGGTACTGTTTGAACAAGAATGTCTTAAATATTAAGCTATGAATCCTATCCACTACAATTCTGCCTAGCAGCTCTAACTCCTACAATTCTGCTTCACCATTCTAGTAGCTTTGCCTCCTATGGCTCTGCTCCACCAAGCACAGCGACTGCTTAAGCAAGCAGGCACAATGCTAACCCTTTATTTCCCGGGATCACCGCCACCTGCATAACTTGCAGCAGTGAACGACCCTGAGTTTCCTCGGGGCAGTAAAATACATGGAGGTTCTCCAGGCTCAGCACAATGGTTGACTGCTGAGGAGGGTTCAGGACACGCGTGTGAGGACCGAGTCGTTCTCTGTTAACAGACTGTTGTTGCTGCTGCTGCGCCTGGCCCCGCCCCTGGAGCCCTGCCCGGGTCCCGGCTGCGCTGCGCTGGCCCGCGGGACCCCGCCCGCCCGCCAGCGGCCCGTCGCCATGCTGTGAGTACCCTGCGCAGCGTGGAGCAGAGCAAGGCCCCAGCACCATCCAGCGCTCGTCCTGTGCTGAGCAGTTCTGCTGTGTCCCGGCAGCAAAGGCAGCAGGGAGCTGGGACACGGACTTGAACTTGTCTGCATCCGTCTCCCATGGGATCTGCAGGATCCCTCCTGGTTCAGAGCCACGGGTGGGAGCAGGGCACAGCAGGAAGGAGAGAGAGGGTGCCATCATTTCTCCTGTACAAAACACCATTCGTTTTAACGTGAGTTTAGATTTCGCATTAGGTTTAGATTCAACATCCGGTTGAGATTACACAGTAGGTTCAGATTAGACAAGAAGATTACGTTTAGACTGGGCATTCTAGACCAATAAAACTGTTGTGTTGTCCTGGGAGTTGATGGACTTCTGCCTTCTGGAGCCCTGCCCTGCTCTTCAGAGCAAACCCAAGCTGTGCCTGGAGGCCCTATGAGCAAAGCACGTCAGTGTCAGCGAGGTGCTGGGTGCACGGCTGCATCCCTGCTCCAATACAGCGTGTTCTGGGGCTGAACAGGGTCCAAGAGCTGCTCTGGCACCCTGCAGCGTTCCGAGGGTGTGCGAGGTTGGAGAAGGAATTGACGCGTGTGAGGACTGAGTCGTTTTCTGTTAACAGACTGTTGTTGCGGGTGTAAAACCTCCGGGGCAGAGGCTGGGTTTCCCCCCGCCTCTCGCCGGGAGAAGTGGACCCCCCGCCGCGCGCATCTCGGCGGGCGCAGCGCCAACCCGTGCCTGCCGGAGCACACAAGGGCCAGGGGCGGGCGGGCAATGGCGGGAGCCCGCCGGAGCCTGCTGCTGCCGCCGCCGTGCAAGTGAGGGAGGTGGAGGCGGCGCGCCCGTGCTCCGCAGCTCCCTGTCCCGCTGCCTCCAGGCGCAGCCCCTCGGCCGGAGGGGAGCCGCTGACGTGCGGAGAAAGGCCTGTACAACCAATGAGCCCATGAGGGTTGTAAAGTGGCCATGTTTCTTCAGCGCTGGGCACCACGGGGCTAGCCCACCAAAGTCGTGCATGCCGCAGGCGCCCGTCCTTCAAACATGTATAGCATTGTGGTTACGTATTCATGAGAGCTGCTATACGCATTCATAACCTGTCCCCGCTTCGTACGATAATTAGTATTTCCGTGAACTCCTGCAACTGCGCATGTGCAGTGCTTTTTGACTCCCTTCAGTTGGAGCCCGTTGCCATCCAAATGGAGAAGGAGGTGCCCAGCAGTTCACCGCAGGGTCTGGGTGTGACACCGACACTTCCAGGTGTCCCTTGGAAGTGACACTGCTGTTTCCAAGCCAACACATCGGGCCTGAAGCTTTCCCCACATTGGAGCAACCAGCGCCAGTGGCAGGGACTATCCCATGTCACAATGGGGACGCACGCTCCCAGGCCTGGCCCCATTGTGACATGTGAGGTGTTCCAGGCTTTATCTGCCCAGCAGGGCCAGCACCGCCCCA